CTCGATTGTCTACTGTTAGATGCCGACGAGATCACTAACCAGTGGCGCGTCATCTAGGTCATATTGACTGAGCCGCCCTCTATACCCTGACTATCCCTCTCGTTCTCCTTTTCCGTCACCCTTCGGTTCAACCAGGCATATCCGGAAGAAAGACATCGTCATTCTGTCCTCAAATACTACGAGCGATCAGCACACGTCTTGACCCCGCGACTTTTCGACGTATACGTAGTGGGCTGTGCCTCCGACAAACAAATTTTTCTATTGCGCCACGTCACGATCCTGAGTTGTGACGATACTGGGAATCGCTATATATCTCCGATTACCAAGAATACATCCACCCGAACGAGCGTTGCGATCAGAGATCCGATTGACTACATCGTCAATTCTTCAGTACGGTCAAGGCGAAGCTCAAGTCTAGTGGATAGCCTGACTTCGAGAACGAGCAACATACTGGTCTGTGATCTGTGATCGGTCTGTCCCGGATTTCATCCACCATCCGCACAAGGTAAGCCTGCGAGCGAAACCCGTCAGTCTGATTCAAATGGCCCGCCGCCGGGTGCTCCTGGCACATCTAGTCATGCCATAGCCCAGCCCAGGCTGCCCCCGCCCTCAATAACTCTACACAACCTTGCCTGCGGCGGCTGCTCAAACGCTTCCACTCGTGGCGATGTGCTGCCCCCCAAAAACCTCGCCCTCACGCACCTCCCTTATTCAGAGCCTTCGCCCCTCGGAAGATCACCATGCTAACAACCTTCTCTCTAGACAGCGCAGTCTTTATAAACTCAAAGTCACCTTCGTCTGACGCCGAGAACCGTCCGAAAACATATCCCAAGCTGGCTATCCACGCAGGGATCCCGACTATTGCTAGCGATTTTCTTCGCCGTAATATGAGGTCGCCTATTCCGGGCGAGGTAATGGACATTGGCAACTTGATGAATCAAAGAGGTGCCGCCGCTATGCAACACATTCACAACGGATCTACTCCCGAACGTCAAATGCATCAACTCCCCCAACTCACCGCGAGAAACATGCCCGAACCACCCATGGACCGTGCCGGTTCTCCCCATGGATCCGAATACTCTCAACACTCCCGTCACGCAATGGAAGGCGTTCCGCGTTCCTACCCATCGCCCAGCGCCATGGTCGGCGCTCCAATGCAGATGCAGATGCCTGTCTCCCACATGGGACCAGGTCCTGTAATCTTGCCCGGAATCCCTCAGCATGATATGTCTCAGGGCATGCCTCAATACAAGGCACCCGAGCAGCAGGCTCCTCAGCAGCCCACTAAGGCTTACCCGTGCAGCACATGCGGCAAGGGCTTTGCTCGCCGAAGCGATCTTGCCCGTCACGGTATGTTGTCCATGAAGATTTGTGATGATGCATCGCTGACTTTGCTTCCAGAACGTATCCACAGTGGAATCCGCCCTCACGTCTGCGATTTCCCCAACTGCGGAAAGCAGTTCATTCAGCGATCTGCACTCACTGTTCATCAGCGAGTCCACACCGGAGAGAAGCCTCACATGTGTGAGCGCTGTGGCAAGGTAAGCTGACTCCATCGAGGAATCCTTTCTGTGTGCTAACATACCCTAGCCTTTCAGCGACAGCAGTTCTCTGGCACGCCACCGTCGTATCCACTCCGGAAAGCGTCCGTACAAGTGCCCGTACGCCGATTGTCAGAAGACGTTCACTCGCCGTACTACCCTGACAAGACATCAAAACCACCATACCGGTACGGTAGAAGAAGCCGCTGCGGCTACCGCTGCTGCTCTGGCTGCTCGCGGAGCTACTGGCAAGGCGAACACGACCCGTTCTGACGGAGACGCCATGTCTAACCGCGGGTCGCCTCTGACGACGCCTTCGCCTGGCCAGCGGACACTCTCAATGTCCCCCAGTGCCGACAGCATGCACCGAGCCAACTCTGAGTTCCAGTACATGGGCAACAGCTCGCTTCCGGTTCACCTGCAGCGAGACATGCATGTTGGCAGCCCTGCATCGACTTCCTCCGGTGGCTACAACACTGGCATGCGACCTACCTCGCACCCCACCAGCTACGGACCGCCTCCGACACTCGAGCCCAGCGTCGAGCAGCACTCTGGCCCCGGAAGTGCTGGCGGTAGCCCTCACATGGGCTCCGTTGGATGGCAGTCTCCGTCGCACGTGCCGTCGCCCTCGCACAGCAGCAACGGCGGCGGATACACCTATCCCGACCCCGACGCCTACCCCTCTGCGCCTTCGCTCGGCGGCCAGATGTTCTACGGCAACCCAGCTCAGGTCCGCCGCCCTCAGAGCACCGAGCCTCCTGCTGGCGCCTATGACATTAAGGGTCGTCAAAGCGAGCTGTGGGCAGGTGCTCATTAGGAACGGTTCATGTAACACTATCGCTAGCCGCACTCCTGAAGCCCTTGAGGGTTGCCAGGAATGCGGATGGCTGAAAAGATTTCCTTGGTGTGGATTTATCTTCTTTTTGCGGTACGAAAAGTTTGTGCATGGCAAGGGCGGGGACGGTAAATAACATACAACTTTAATATTGCGGGCTGCACCGGGACAAGGTCAGGAAGATACCAAGGGGCGGGCAGTCATCCGGTTCGTTTTACAATCGCCTTTTCTTTTGTTATCATAGACTGGCGGAAAGCACACTTCATGATGGCTGGGTCTCCATGGGCATTGGCTGGAGGCAAAAAAGGTTGGGAGGAGTTCCCAGACAGGACACGGCGTGCTCTTGAGTAGCACGCCGACGGATTTGGCGGAGACTCGCTCGATAAAGGAACGTGGCTCTTTTGTGTTTTATTTGCAATATTTTGTATGCAACACTGTACTCTGTACTAGACAATGAATGCGCGCAGCAATCTGTTTCTCTCCTCAATCTTTACTTGCCCCTGGTGTGTATGCACGTTTCTCCTGGTTCGCAGTTGAGACAGGCGGAGCTAGAGCCGTGAGGCGACCGGGAGAGCTTTAGGACCGATCCCATGTTGGTCAGTGTGTGTGCGTGCATCTGCTTGCCGCGTGCGGCTTGCCTGTGCATCATCGGTGGAGGTGGAAATTAATCTAGATCCCGTTCGAGGGCGATCCGGAGTTGGCGTGTGTCCCACCACGCACGCTGCACTTGGCGGTGTTGGTTGGTTGGTTCTCAGCCGAAAAAAAACAAAAGTCGCAAAAGTCGCAAAAAGGTATTACAAGGCGAACAGGTTGCGCGTTACGCGTTCGTTTTTCTGGGCAGATGTTACGAAAATGATTGGTAGATGTTGTGCATACTTTTTTGGTAGTCCTCGCATACACACACTCTTGTCCTTCTGTCACTTGTTGTCTCTTACTCATCACCCATCCTTGAGATGGTGAAGCTGCATTCAGTACAGTTTTCTATAGGAGGAGGGGCTCAGCCGGCAGGCAGTGAGTGTGCGTTATGGTATTGGGGTCTGGTTCGGTGTCTTATGAGAGGGCTTTTCGGTTGAGGTTTGTCGTGAGTTTTCCGGGGGCTTGCGGTCTACTACTTTTTGAGATTAACCTACCTGAAAGTAATTGTTGTTGGTGCCATCCAGTCCAAGAGGTCATTGTGTGAGATGAGATGGGTTTCTATTCTACTTCATCATTCTATTTCATTAAGAAGATGGAAGATGAGAGGAATGACATTCAAAATAATAAAATAGTTGGAAGGCTAGGAAAGAGTAAGAGAGTCCTCGGTCTGGGTTATGTGACAACAAGAATAATGGCGAGAGAGAGAATACCTGCTTGGCGGCAACCCGGGCCCCAGAACCGAAAGCGCCGAGACTTACGAATCGAATCCGAGGCGATTTTCTACTACTCCCGTACTTTCACCTTCTTTTCCGCACTCGTACCTTTCCTTTTTCCCTTCATTTTTTTAAATGTAATCGGGAATGATGATATAATCAGAAAATCAAAACCCGGTGGGGAGCGAGGCACACGGCGTCTGTTGCTCCGAGTTCCGTATTCAAATCAAACTTGGCGCTTTCCGAGTTTCTGTGGTAAGCCGTGTGGAAAATGATTAGTGAACTTTTTTTTCTGGTCCTCCAAGCAGCCTTGCGTTCGCGTTCAGGTGAGGGGGGCAGCCGGCGGGATCCGGTGGGATCTGACATTTTCAGTCTTGAATCCGAGATGATTCGGGGGTTTTGCGAATGGTTCTGATGGTTATCTCCCCGGTCATAACGTTATATATGAACCCAGGGCGATGGGATGCCGTGATGGTTGTCGTTCTGGACGCCCTTTTCTTGCCTCGGTTTCGGGGAGTGGTTTTGTGTAGAGATGGGAATCAGCACGCCCACCTCCCACCTTGCACCGGAGAAATTGGTCATTTTTCTTTGGATTAGTCGTCGATATTAGAGAAAGAGACAAGAGTACGAGGTTGTATGTGTGTGTGTGTGTGTGTGTCTCTCTCTCTCTCTCGGGAGAGGAACGTGGTTTGACGGGAGGACGAAGGAAGGATTATGTATTATTCTCTAGTATCTGGTGTTGATCCGAGGGTGACACCGTCATACAGGGGTGAAACTTGGAATACCTAGTTCAATAGTCACAAACAGAAAGAGAGAACGAGAAGGGGGAAAAGTGGCCCTCGCTCTCTCGCGTTCTCGGGAGCGCATTCGTGGTTCATCAATCACCCAGCCCGCTGAGCAAGCTACAAGTCGTTTGATTAGTATTCCAATACGTCTGCGTCTGTACTTTGTTTCTTCAAGTTGGGTACTTTGTTCTCTGCGTTGGGTTTCAAAACTATCCCACCCAACCCACGCGCCCACCACCACCACCCATACGCAGACACATGCACACAGACACCATATGCCAACAATGGGATTAGACTGGTGGTGCAAAGCCATGAGATGACGGGGCTACGGGCAAATTACCCTGTTATATATCCGCAAGACGCCGCAAAACTTGTCAGAGTTGGACACAGGTGTAAAAGGAAACTTTAATACCCACACCTCTTCTTTATTCTGCTTCTTCTCCCTCCTACTACTGTTTCCGAAGAATTCCAGAAGGTGCAGCAGTTCAGATTGATCCCAAAGCCTCCCTCCACTTCCAGTGTTTCCCTGAACAGAGTTTTGGAACCGGGACTGTCAAGTTCAACCTTGGAGTGACAAATTGTATTTTCCTGTGGCTTACACTATCAAAGGCGACCGACCATTCGATACATTTATTTCGCCCTAGGCACGCCCTAGGCACGCCCTAGGCGGCACCGAGAGACAAGCGAGAGAAAGGCATAACGAACGCCTTGAGTCTTTTTCTCATCGGTCGTTTACTCATCATCATACATCAAGCACTTGCAAGGTCGATATCCAAATCGAACTCATCATATTTGTTCCCCCAGCGGTCTGCCATCGTATGGTCCAACGAAGACTACTACACTGCCGCCAATCTTCATCGCCATTCATCCATCTCACCCTCGGGCGTCACAACCCCCTCTTCGTCAGTATAAGTCGAAACTTGACAACGACACTTTCAAGAGGCGTATCATCCATCGAGACAAAAGCAATGCCGGTCATCAAAATCGAGGCCGTCACGGACCTGCTATGTCCGTGGTGCTACGTCGGCAAGAGAAATCTCGACCGCGCAATCTCACAATACCGCGCCGTGGACCCCTCTACCGAGTTCGAGGTCGTCTGGAAGCCGTTCTACCTGAGCCCGGCGTTGAAGAGCACAGGTATGTTCTCACTCTCTCTTAGGCTTTACATGAACATCCGTCCCCAATGGCTGCCAAGCGGGCGAAAGCCTCACGCACGCTTCTCCACCCTCACTTACACGCAAAAAACACAACCTCGCTCTCTTCTCATTCTCCAATCTTCACAACCCAACCTCAAATAACTCAACACCATACCATCAAACTTTTGCAGCACCAAACAGTAAAACAATCCCTCCACTAACATATCCCATATAAAAAAAAAGGCTACGACAAACGCGAAATGTACACAACCCGCTTCTCCCTAGCAGGCGACCTCCCCACAGCAATAGCCCGCGTAACCTCCGTCTGCTCCGCCGCCGGCATAAACCTAAACGTCACAGGCCGCACCGGCAACTCGCGCCAATCCCACAAACTCTTACGGCTCGCCCTCGTCTCCAAGGGACCCTTAGCCCAAGACCGGCTCCTCGAGGCGCTCTTCCGAGGCCACTTTGAACTCGGCGCCGATATTTCCGATAGGAACTACCTCATCAAGACGGCGGCGGCCGCGGCGGGACTGGATGAGGCTGACGTCGAGGCCGCGCTCGATAGCGATCGCGCGGGGGAAGTGGTGGATGAGGAGGTTGTGGGCGCGAGAAAGGCGGGCGTTACGGGCGTGCCGACGTTTACGGTGCAGGGCAGGTGGAGGGTTGGTGGGAATCAGGAGCCGGATGTGTTTTTGAGGGTGTTTGAGCGGGTTACGGAGGGCCATTGAGTCTGATGGTGGTTTGGGGAGGGGCTTCTTCCCTTCTGTGAGAGGATATTGCTTTGCTGCTACATACCTTGGCTACGGCGAGAGAAGGGAATATGATGAAGGAAGAGGATATGGGGCTTGGTGGTTTGTCCTGTCTGTTAGTTTGGGTCTTATTTTCTTCCTCGGTGAGGTCAGCGATATGGCATTGCGGTGGCAATAACATCATTTCCCATAGCGCAGCGTCAAAGAATGCAATAATGTTGGATATTCATCATTCTTCTGTCTTTTTTTTTTTGGGGGGGGGGGGGGGGAGGGGGGTTCTCTCTTAGTTCTCTGCATGCTGCATGAGCGAAATGCATGCCCTCTGCATCAACTGCGGCACAAAAGCCCATCGTGAACCCACCCACTCGTCTATAAGGAAAAAGAACTAGACACGAAAAAAGGGTAGCAACCGAGTCTTTGCCAAATGAAGTATGTCCGTCCGTTCGTCGTCTCTCTCCGCCGCCCAAAACCCAAAACGCCGATTCGAAATGCAGTTCCCTGTATATAAACACTGGGGGGTAATTCGTGTGTCTACCGCTTCACCATGTGGCTGTAATCCTTGAGCAGATGCTCCATGTGCGTATTGGTCGTCTTGCCGGTGCGCCTAACAGCCCGCTTCTTCTGCTGCTTCTTGGAGTCGACCTTTTTGATAGTGCTAGGATCGGCGCTAGCCGGCTTCTGCCCAACAGAGACGAGCTTCTTGACGATATCGTCGGTGGTGGGGACCTCGACGACGTTCCACATGCGCTTGAACTCGTCGTCGACGTGGTGGTGCAGCGTCGCGTCGTCGAGCCAGATGGCGCGCGGGTGCTGCTCCTTCTTGGTCTTCACAATCAGAATCTTGTGCTCGCGCTCCAGCTCCATCAGCGCCTGGTCGCAGTCAGGCCACCCGTCCTTGAGGTCCTTGACGTTGGTCCCCTCGGCGTCCCGCTTGCTCTGCAGGTGCCGCAGGAGCGTCATCTTGTTCTTGACGCCGGGGATGATGGGGCGGTGGACGTACGTGCCTGTCCGCCACGTCTGCTCCGACATTTTCGGGTCGGGCACCCACTGGATGCGGGGGTGCCGCCGCATGCCCTCCACCAGCTGCTGCTTGTGCTTGTCGGTGCTGCGGGTCTGACCCAGGTGGTCAAAGATCTCGGCCGCCGTCTTGGGCTCGTCCTTACCCTTGAGCCACTCCAGGGCATACTGCATCTGCGTAAAGACCTCTTGACCAAAACTAGTGTTCTGAGGTTGCGAGTACACAATTGCGTTGGGGTCGCGCTTCCGCTTGCCCGATGCGGTGGTGTCATTCTTGGATGCTGACGCCGTGCTGCCGACGGACGGGGAGGGTGACGGCGGCGCGAGAGATGTGCTCTTAGATTGCAGCTTGCTCGCGGCCGAGGCCAGCGAGCTGCTGAACATAGCCTTCTGCTTTTCGAGGAGGGAAGACATGATGGGCGATTTGGAGGGTGTTCGATGTCGTAGTTGATGGTCTTTGCGAAGCTCGTGGCTTTCGTTGCGGGATAGTCGTTGACGGGCCGACAGCTCAGGACGATGTCTAGTAATAAGACGAGCGTGGTGGCCTCAGGAAGAGATCCTATCCAAAACCTTGCGCCAGAAGGTGTAGTCGTAGGTTGATTTACGACGTGACTGGCCGAAAAGTGGTGGCTATACTGAGCATTCGACGTATCTCCGGCGCAAATCGTAGCGCAAGTGGACCGCTTGCGTCTGGACCCAAGGATTGCGAGAACCTTCCCAACGTCACGGTATTCCACGCGGCGGGTTCGTCTGGCCTCTAATCGAATGTGCGAAAGGTCTCGCTTTTCGTTGGCGTCGTAGGAAGCTGGAAAATTCCCCCCGAAAGCCGACCTGCGATGCTCAAAGGCAACCACGTCGAAGACCGCCTTGCCGCAAAGGAGATGCTGCCAGAAGAGGCCCTTCGCAATATTTCCTCCTTCGTCTCAGCCGAGCCCAACTCCTTCGTTTCAATCCGGATTGGTCGTCGCTCGCGCTTCGCACCGTTGCCGTCCTTTTTTGCAATCGTCGAGCTTTCCAGCTTCAGCCTCCAAAGTCGCCGACCGTATTCCCTCGAGTCGATCGCCGTTCGCCCCAGAAGCCTGCAAATATCCGTGATCTTTGTTCCCGTTTCGATTATCCCCCGCAGATAGTCGTCCGCGACGTGAAGTTGGCAGCCGGAGTGGGAAAGCAGCGAGAAAAAGCTGCTTTGTCGATTCAAGGTAATGAATTGTAGGATGTCTGCCTGCCTGCCTGCCGTCAGTTCAATTCTCTAGGACGGCACGTTCGAAAATGTGGCGCACGGACGTGGCTGGTGAATGAGTGGAGACTGGATAGTGAGGTAACTCAGCCACGGTGAGATCCGGTTGGTTCGGAATATGGAGACGCCCCGATTCCGCCTGTCAAGCAAAAAATTCCGAGCTAATGGGTTTCCAGCACATTGAGTCTCCGAGATGGACAGCGAAGGGACCTGGATGCGGGTCATAATTTGCACGGGCCACGCTTGCTCGTGGAAACAGCAGCTTGACGCAAGAGCGGTAGCTTTCTTGGGAGAAGAGGTCGGTTTCTCAAGGCAACTTGTAAACTCAAGCATGTAGCAACTCACGAGACTGTAACAGATCAAACTCACTCTTTCCGCGTGTAAGATTATCGTGACTGTACTCTTAATTGCCACACCGAAAGCTCCCATATGTTCATCTCACTGCTGAAGGGCCTGTTCAATCACCAGAGAACGCGATGGTCTGAACGGTTGCGTTACCGTGTAACTAGCGTAACGACGCCCACTACCCCGTATATCCAGTACAGAATCTCCAACAAACAATCATGACCAGAACGTATATTCTATTAAAAGCATATCTTCTCCCGGCAGATTCGGCTCAGTCGTTGCTCGACCGGCCAGATCCTCTGCCGCTGAATAAAAGCTCCCCCTATAACCCGTCTGCGCCAGCTCATAACACATCCATGGGACCTCAGGGTGACGCAAAGGCTTTTGAAAGACCTTTGCGCCCCCCCTTCTCTCGCTCTTCAAACATAAGTTTCCGCCTGTTGAAGACAATGACCGAAGCCTCCCCATTCGTCGCCGAGGCGGCGCGCGCATCCTCGTTCCCCCTTTTCGGGGAGTGGCGGCGGTTTTGGGGAGCCCCATCCCCCCTCAGCACTTCCCGCGTTGCTGTGAAAAAAAGTCCAAGACCGTAGCAGCTAGCTTGGATCTTATGCGGACTGCTGCTGTTGCTGCTGCTGGTAGTTGTAGGCGACGTATGCGAGGACACCGCCGACGAGGAGGACGGCGTACAGGCCGATGCCGAAGCCGGGGCTCTCGGTGCTGGAAGATGAGCTGGCGGCGGCGACCTGCTCCTTGGGGGCAGGGTCTCCGAGCTGTAGGAGGAGGAAAGGTCAGTACAATCGCGTTCTGTAGCCTTAGGCAATGCGCGCGCGATCACGGCAAAACCGGAGTTTTGTTTTGAACTCACCTGGCGCTTCAGGTCGCCGAGGTACAATTGGTCCAGGGTCTCGCGGGCCTCGTCGCTGTGTCCGACATCCTCGAACGCCTCGGTGGCATCCTGACCACCGACGTCAAGAATAACCTCCTCGCCACCGCTGTGGAGGAAGAAAAAAGTCAGTTGGGAGTACTAATCGAATAGAGATTGAAACCCTCCAGAGGAGGGCCACCGGCGCAAGAGTGGCGGGGGCGGAAGCAGATCTAGCTGGTTACTTACGGGTGCTCGTCGACGAACTTGGTGCAGTCGTAGATCTTGTCGTGGATCACCATGTAGATGTCCTTCTTGGTGTTGTGCTCAGCAACATCCTGGTAGGTGAGTTCGACAGCGCCCATTGTGACTGATTTGTGTGTAGAGACCGCAAAGGATTGTTGGTGGGAAACGTGGCTCCTTTTTTTTTTCCTTCTTTGTTTATCGGAGGGGTGGGAAGTTTGTTGAGGGTCCTTGCTGTTTAGCTAGGATTCGGTGTGAAGAATTCGAGTCGGTTTGTGCAGCACAGGGCGAGAGGGGAATAATTGCAGGCGAGAAGATGGCTTGGGAGGATGTGATTAGGTGAGAGAAGGAGGAGTTTTGGTGCAGAAGGAAGTAGGAAAAAGGAGTCGGACGAGAAGGAGGTCTCTCGGATGTTGTTGAGCCCGTTCACACTGCTTTATCGCGGGACCCCGTTAAAAATCGGGGGGAAAGCGCAGCACTCGGACTGGGACTGACAGCTGATGGAAGCTTCTGCTGGGACCAAGCGGTCACTGATGGACTGTGGACACCTCACAATAGGTACCTTAGCACAGAGGTGGGCTTGGAGGAAAGAGGGTACCGGCGGTCCGCTCAGGGGTGGACAGTTCCTTGAGCCAATGGGAGAGGGAGAAATTAGTGCACAGTTGCCGTGATTCGCTGGAAGTAAATGTGGGCTGGGGGTACTTGGAGAGGTAAGGCAGGCCGCAGGCCGAAGCACAAGGAAGAAGGTGCGATTTCAAAGGGGGGAACCAATTTAGCTGGCGGAACTTGGGAGAGAGTCAGAACAGAACACTGCCTTCGTAGACAAGTGACAATAGAGAGAAAGGACCCGACTACTTCCACAAGTTCCATGGCCTTCTTGCTTAGTCCGGAGAGGAGAAGCTTGCCGGCCTCCTTCTCGGCGTCGCACTCGGGTAGTTGAACCCCAGCCAGACACTTGACACCTTCCAAGGCCGCCACCGTTTGATGCATACTACACATTCGTCACATACTTACCCCAATACCTTGCCTTTCAGACCAAGGTATTTATTTGTACTCCGTATAATAATCACCTACAACACCCGTGTCGATTTGCCATACCCGTCAACCGGGACCTAGGACCTAGGTAAAACTGCCCTTCCTGGACAGCCAAGTCTCCTTCACTTTCACCCCGCCCGTTGATACTCTCAAAGCGAAAATGTCGAGTCAGGGCTCCCGCTGCAAAACTTAAACCATCGCCGCTTAGTACTGGGGTGCTCCGCACCTACCTAGTCTTCCACCTCTTTACCGCCCCCAGCTTCCGCGGTTGATCAACACTTTTGAGAAAGAGAGCGGATTGCTAGCTCGTTTCGAAACGCATGGCCCCTCCAATGCTCCAACGGGGCGGAATCACATCGGGGTCCGCTACCGTGGCCGTCGTATTATTCAACTGGCCCTTTTACACACAGTATGTGACCCAGCCCGTATTACAGGAATCTTGGAGGAAACCGACTGCAACGTCCCCCCCCAAGCATGAGCCAGCGTGCCAGCACACCGAGTGTCTGTACTATACCGCAGTAATACACAAGGGTCTTGAGTTGTCCGTCCGGCACGGCCTACGCAGTATGTCTCCGGGGTCGAGTCCCCAGTTATTCGTGTTCGTAAACTCGCATTGCCAATCGCCGCTTGCTTCCTAGGCTTCCTTGTTGCTTCTCGCGGTACGGTGGTTCACGAGCAGCCCGACTGCAACACCAGTCCCGCGAATTGCCCACACGTACCGCTGCAAGGTCATTACAGCGAATCCAAAGACTCCCAAATCCCGCTTCCACGAGGATACATGCCGTCCCCACCCTTGCCTTCTGCGACTTCCCCCTCGTCGCCAATCCTGACGCTATCGTTCCGTTCGGATCTTGCCTTATCTGCGCCGTTCCGCGGGGTTTTCCTGGGCGGGCTGGACTGGTCCAGCTGGGCGCACGTACGGGATACACTACTACACTGCATATCTTTACCTCGCACACACATACACATACACACTTCGGACGGACTGATCACTGACCATTAAAAGAGTCCGGATCCCACGGAGCATACGGACAGTCCAGTCTCTCCAACGGAACATTACTTCACTCATCATGAACACACGGAATACATAAAGAAGAAGGCCACAACACCAGACCAATCCTAACCTCCCCGGCCGAAATTCCTGAAAATTGACAAATCTAGGCCAAACCGCCTGGAACCTAGCCACATCCCCCCAATCCCGCAATCACGTTCGGGAAATTCGGGATGATGCCGAGGCAGTCCCGTGCGGTCTCCGTCCCTCCGGTATCGTCATTCCCTTTAAGCCTCCCACTTACGACTTGGTAATGAGCAAAAGGCGGGGAACGCGCGGGGTAAAAACAAGCAAACGAGATGCAGCTCTTGAGATAATCGGCTGCGATAACTTTTTTTTTTTTTTGCGGTCGTTGGAAAGGGCATCGCGATATGTTACCCGATTGGGTAATTCCCGCCGGTTTGGCTAAACGTCTCGTCTAACCCGTACAGTCCCTTCTCTCATTCGTAGATAATCAAGGCAATGGGCGGGCTGAAAGGGGTAATTCAGCTACGTTCTAGATCTGCCAAATTTAACTCAAGATCTTCTGTTGAAGTAAGGAGCGACTTCCGTAGTCTATTTTTGTCCATCTACAAGCTTCCCACAACCGCACGTGGGTATGATGCATGTATCTTTACGACTTACATAAGGCTGTGAAATTGCCGTCAGTAAAACAACCATTGTCACAAGAAGCAGCCAAGTGATGTGTTGAAAAAGAAAGCTTTTTAACCCATTCCTAGCTTTGCATGCTGAATGCACCAGTCGAGCAAACACTCTATATGTAGTAGCCCTTAACAATCAAAGACTCTCTTCCTCTTCCCCTCTCCCCATCTGTCTCCCGCCGTCCCTCTATTTCCGGCCGCCGCCAATGTCCTGACCCAGCCTGTACGAGGTAATCTTGTCCCACTCAATCTTCTGCCTCGTCACGGGCAGCTGTCGTCGCAGGCCCTTGAACGCGCCCTCGCTCAGGTTCGTGAACCCCCTGTTGAGCTCCTCTTGGTACTTCTTCTCCGACGCCGCAATCTCCTTGACGATGCCCGCGCCCGTGCCCGACGAGACCGACGCCTGGCTGGGCCGGCTCGTGAGCAGCCGGACGTTGCCGTCTTCGTAGTAGTGCACGTCGACCTTGACGGAGCCCTCGAGGGCCTCGGAGGAGGGGTCGAAGATGTAGACGGATCGCCAGCGGCCATTCCTGTTGGGTACCCATGTGTTAGTGTGCACCGTGGCGGTTGGAAAAGCCTAGGGAAGGCTCTGTAGGGTAGCTTACCAGAAGTTGTTGGGAGAGTACTTGTTCGAGACAATAATGACTGCCACCTTGGAATCGTTCTCGGTAGGGTAGACGCCGTACGCGGCGTTGGGGAAGTGTTCCTGGACATAGGGGCCGAGGCTCTTCAACGTCGACTTGCTGTTTGCGTAGTATCTCTCAGCATCACTGCCCTCATCTCGTCCCTCTCATTCCCGTAAAAACCTACATCAAGTCCGAGTTGGCGCTCTCCAGAACGTAGCTCTGCACACTGCTCGCCTTCTGTGTGGTGTGGTCAAAGGAGAAGCTCGTGGAGCTCTCCACGTCAAAGTACTGGCCGTCGCCGAGCGAGCTGTGGGAGCTGACGATCACCTGCTGGCTTCCGCCGGGCAGCTTCACCGTGACGAACTGTTCCTCGTTGTACTTCTCGAATGCCGGCTCGAGGCTGGACACGATCTCGGGGTCCGATACGGTGAGCGACTTGATATCTTGGCCGGGGTTAGCAATTCGTTCGGAGCTCTTGGTCTCTTCGTCTTCGAGGTAGTTTCGTTGGGAGGACGAGTGCGGTTTACCTGCAATGACATCTGCGAGCTTCAAATCGAGGTCAGCTTGGGGTGTGGTTCGCGACGTCATGCGCGTAGTAGGGAGAGCTAGGAAGGTACCTCGCCTGGGGGAGCGCCCTCCACGAAGGAGGACACGGTCTCGACTTGGGACATTGTGAGGTTGTAATCCGGTACGGCGGGGGGTAAATGGTTCTGGTCGCGCAATCAGTCGGTCGTTAAGTCGGTGACGATTGCGGCTGGACGGAGTGGATGAAGAGCTGTCTGCCTCACTCGAACGTTGAAACGTAATGCGGGGCAGTTGGAGGCGGGACATGGGGAGGGGCGGATTGGCTGGGAAAGGGTGTCAATTGTTAGCGCGAGACCTCCACTTGAGCGGAAGGAAGTGGGCTCATTGTGTACTTTGTCATCACGGAGCGAATATGTCGATGGATTCACTGCCACTTGCATCTAATACATTTTTGATGCTACCGGAACAAGACTTCTGAAGATGAATGGCATGTCATTAAGGGTATGTGCTATGTTGCGAGTTTTCTTTTTGTTGTTTTCCCCATCACCCCTGGTCCCTAACCAGGCCTCAATAATCCAGAACCCGCTTGATGTTGTCATAAACCCCTGGACTCGTTAGAAACCGTTGAACATAATAGACCGGAGAGATCACACTTACTAGCAACATCAGGAATGTTAAACTTCTCATAAAGCAACGGAGTGTGGATGCTCCATCCAGCAACTCTTGCAACCGGCGCCTCCAGCCTTAAAAAGGTATCAGGATCCTCCTGGATCGTGGCAGCAACCTCAGCACCGATACCAGCATTCACCATCGCCTCGTGCACCACGATGCAGTGACCCGTCTTGCGCACGCTCTGAAACACCGTCTCCTTATCCCAGGGATACAGCGTCCTGAGATCGATGAGCTCGACAGAGATGCCCAGCTCCTCCTCGGCCTTTTGGATGGCTGACATGCACGTAAACAGCGGCTGTCCGTACGAGATAATCGTCACATCCTTGCCCTCCTTCAGGACCTCCGCCTTGGATAACGGTAGAGTGTACGACCCCGTGGGCACCTGCTCGACGGCTGCGCGGTACAGAATCTTGGGCTCCATGAAGATGCACGGGTCATTGCTGCGTATAGCCGCCAGCAACAGACCCTTGGCCTGTAGAGGTGACCGTGGCATGATCACCCGTAGACCGGGGATGTGCGTGAACAGGCTCTCGGGTGACTGGGAGTGGTAGAGGGCGCCGTGGCCAACTCCGCCGCAGGGCATCCGTACGGTCAAGCCGCCGACGCTCCGGCCGCAGGCGCCGTCTCTGTACCGGTACTTTGCCGCCTCGTTGACAAGCTGGTCAAAGGCTGGGTAGATGTAGTCGGCAAACTGAATCTCCGCAACGGGCCGCATACCCTCCGCGGCTGCGCCAATAGCGAAACCCATGATACCCTGTTCCGTCAATGGCGTGTTGAAGATGCGGTCGGCACCGTAAGTCTCTGCCAGCTTCATCGTGCACCGAAAGACGCCGCCAAAGGCAACGTCCTCGCCGAAGACCATGACGGAGTCGTCCTCGGCCAGGGCGATGGACAAAGCGTCGTTAATGGCTTGGAACAGGTTCATCTTCTTGGTCGTGCCATCGCGCACCTCCGCCGGTAATTCAGCCGTGCCGAGAGCAGTTTGTGAAGAGTGCGCGAGGAGTGATGTTGTCGCATAGTCCACGGGTATGTTGAGCTTCGCATTGGGCGGGTGTGTCGAGTAGAGCCGGGGGGCCGCAACAAGGGGCGACAGCAGCTGTGTCGATACCGACGGCGCCAGCGCTCGCCGCAGTGGACGTAATGAAATTGACGACGACCTCATTGTAAATGGTACAGAGACAGATAGAGAGCCCAAAGAAACCTTTCCAAGATGCCAATGCCTTGTGGTTTGTGTGAATTCTATCCGTAGAGATGAAGGGAATTGAGAGACGGGAGCCGGCTCAGACGAGATAGGCACCTCGTTGCTAACCCGAAGGATGGCGGGTGATGTAAGTCAATCTTCGGCTTGCGACGGCGTTCGCGGGGTTGAAGCGGCTCCTGTCAGCCACAACCCCCCTGCAGCCACTTAACGCCTTGATAAGAAGAAACTGGGGCGCAGAGCGTCAGAGCTCAGGTCGATTGTTGTCCTGCCAACAGCCGATGCGCCAATGCACCTCCAAAAAACAAGGCAGGTGGAATTGGAATACCTTGGTACCTTGGCACCAAGCGAGAGCCAACGAGTCCACAACGCATACGTATTTCCCGCAAAACCGCATCTTTCAACGAACGCCAGGAATGTCATCCGAGGCGCAAACATTCCAGTGCAACGGCGCCTAGGCAAAATCTCCCACCCGACGACATTTACGACGAAAAATGGCGCCCGGTGAATCTTCGAGGCCGTCGTCGCATCGACCACGAGACTCATCGGGCAAGAAACACCATCACAAGAAACGACGATCGCGCGCAGAGGGATCCAGACGGCCGGCCACGGACTCGGGCGAGAGCAGGGACGAAAGGAGATCACAAACGCTATCCGTGGATGCATTGGCGAAGCTGAACCAGGATAACGTCAAGAGGCAAAAGAGAAGGGAGAAGAAAGAGTCAGGCGCGGGCGGTGGCAAGCCATCGAGGGACGCCAACGCAGATGCAGAACGGCGGGAGAGACGGAGGGCACGACGCGAAGCCGCCTACCGGGATGCGCCCACAGAACGACCAAAGAGGGTGAGGCGAGAGGAGGATAGGGAAGTGGTCTATGAGAAGCCCAGGAAAGAGCACAAGAACAAGAAGAAACGTGTGGTTAGCGGCGCTATCATGGAGGAGGGACGGTCACGAGGGCATTTGAGAGGTGGAGGATGGAACAGCTCCGACCACAGCTTCGAGAAGGAATATCTCATGGAAGACCCTCCGAAACCGGTAAAGAAGCGGAAGAAGCTTTGTAAGTTGCTTCGAGTCGTGAAAATGGAGACATTGACTAACCACCCGACAGGGATATGCCTCGGTGTCTCATTAGTGCTTCTCATCATCATCATCGTAGTAGCGGTGGTGGTCAGCAAGAACAACAACAAGAGCAGCAACACGAAAACGACCCTCGACGACGGGAACAAGGACAGCGTCCCGATGAAGTGGCGCGGCACCTACCTCGATCCGTGGTCATGGGAGGACACAACCGACTTCAACGTCACCTTCACCGATCAAATGGTCGGCGACCTGCCCGTCATGGGCCTCTACACCGACTGGGACGACTCGGCAAAGGCAAACGACAAGGTGCCGGCGCTCAAAGACGCCTGGGACTCCTACGGCTCACGGCCCGCTCGCGGCGTCAACGTCGGCGGCTGGCTGAACCTCGAGCCCTTCATCACCCCTTCCCTCTTCAACTACGACTCCCGCCTCGGCATCATTGACGAGTACACGCTGTGCAACCACCTTGGCACGAAGCAGACGGCCGAGGTGCTCGAGAAGCACTACTCGACCTTTGTCACCGAGTCCACTTTCAAGGAAATCGCCGACGCCGGTCTCGACCACGTCCGCATCCCCTTCAACTACTGGGCCGTCGAGGTCTACGACGGCGACCCCTACCTCTTCCGCACCTCGTGGCGCTACCTCCTCCGCGGCATCGAGTGGGCACGCAAGTATGGCCTCCGCGTCAATCTCGACGTCCACGGGCTGCCAGGAAGCCAAAACGGCTGGAACCACTCGGGCCGCCAGGGCGCCATCGGCTGGCTCAACGGCACCGACGGCGCGACAAACGCCCAGCGCAGCCTCGACATGCACGACCGCCTCTCCAAGTTCTTCGCCCAGGACCGCTACAAAAACATCATCGCCTTTTACGGCCTCGCCAACGAGCCGCGCAACGTGGACCTCAACAACGCCGACGTCGTCTCGTGGACCGCGCAGGCCTACAAGCTCGTCAAGGGCAACGGCATCGGCGGCGTCGTCGTCTTTGGTGACGGCTTCATGGGCCTGGCCAACTGGCAAGGAAAACTGACGGGCTACAGCGACCTCGCGCTCGACGTGCACCAGTACGTTATTTTCAACACTGATCAAATCGTCTACACGCACAAGAAGAAGGTCGAGTACGCCTGCAGCGGGTGGACGGAGCAGACGGAGCAATCCATGGACACCTCCACGGGCTACGGCCCGACGCTGTTCGCCGAGTGGTCCCAAGCCGACACGGACTGCGCCAAACATTTAACGAATGTCGGCTGGGGCAACCGGTGGACGGGCACCTACAACACGGGCAACGCGACGACGTCGATCCTCGAGCCGCGGTGTCCGACCGAGGACTCGAAGTGCGACTGCGACACGGCCAACGGCGACGCGGGCGGCTTCAGCAGCGACTACAAGAAGTTTCTGCAAATGTTTGCCGAGGCGCAGATGCACTCGTTCGAAAAGGGGTGGGGGTGGTGGTACTGGACGTGGGACACGGAGAGCGCGCCGCTGTGGAGTTATAAAAAGGGCCTCGCGGCCGGGATCCTGCCGGCCAAGGCGTATGATCGGGACTTTGACTGCTCCGGGACCGTGCCGGACTTTGGGAGCCTGGCGGAGACCTACCGGATGTGAGAGAATGGGATGGAGGGAAACCTGGATACGGTTCGGAAGTTCCGTACCGGAGGTCCGGAGGCTCGTTCTTGGTGGGTGGGCCCCTGGTTGTGCGACTCTGTTGTCGACGACGTGCGTTTGGTTGTCCGACGACATGCGTACCGGGGTTTTCATATATGCTATTTGCATGCAATGGGCGTTTTTGTTTTTGCTTCTTATTGTTTTCTTGTCATTTGCCCCTATTTCCGGGGTTCAAGGGTTCAGCAACTGCATTTCAACATCAACATCAACGAAAGCGAGAGAAACATAAGTATACTAGAAAGAATAGCTAGCTGGGGTTCATGATGATCATGTAAGTAAAGATACGGAGGGAAAGGATGAATAAGGGCTCATGTATGATAATAACGCCAATGGAGACCGCACATGATTTCAACTCCATCAAAGTAGATAGAGAGAGAAAGAGAAAAAGGGAGGAAATGAAATGATGAAAAAATCACGCACCATCGGGGATGGCCTCATCTACCTCACTATTCTGTCTCGTTCTGTTAGTGAGCTTCAAATGTTGCAAATCATAGACAAGTGCTAGTGAATGTGTGTATTACCAATCCTCATCGTAACTCCGAGGAAAACACTCAGCCTAAACGCATCTCCACGGCTCTCAATCACAAATCAGAAACACGTGGTTTTTTCCTTACTGTTCAAAGTCCTAACCGATCTAAACCACCCCCAAAGGCCCCGACCGGCAACCGGCGCCGGCGGGGAGAAAAGGCCCCAAATGTTAACGGGAAAGTGTGTGTGGCAAAGCTGTCAGAAAATAATTGGAAATACGCACAGACACTGGGTTGAGCTGGAGACCTCAAGGTAACGGTCGCCCGGCGCCGGGAAAAGCTGCCGACAATTGACAACCCTCTCGCGGCTTCGGCCCTCTACGAAAGAAGCGAAAGTGGCAATGTGACAATCCAGCTTGTTCCCTTTATTTTCCCTACTGGGCCCTGCAAACATAAGAAAGCGGGGGATCGACCACACCTAAACAAGCCCACATGCCGAGCAGTCTGAACCAATTTCGTCAGATCTAAAGAGGGGGGAGAGAGACTCGGAAGCTAACAAAAAGTATGATAGATGGGGAGATGGACCTCAAGCCTATCGCGATTCGCACGTCCTCTGTGACAGGTATCTGTAATCGGTGGACCATTCCATCGGGCCGCGTCTAACAGCCGTGAGTGGAGTTCCGCCAAGACGGGTTGGGTTTCTTCTCAGCGCCACCTCTCGACGTAGGTTTCCTCGAATCGTCGAACAGACCAAGGGTTACAGGGCCAATTTTAGCGACTGTGACTCGTTGCAGAAGTGACAAGAGGTGACAGGCGCCTCCTGTCCCAGACGCCGAGGGTCCCCCCGTCTCTTTCCGCTGGCGCTAACTGAGTGAGCAACCGCGAGCTGTGAAAGTCTGGAATGAGCCCAAAAAGGTCGTGGTGAATCTCGGCTCTTCCGACGTCATACTCATGGCGGTTTATTTCCGAGAGAACCCCGTCACCTTTCAGTCACCACCCTTTTGGCCAACGCAAATGCAGCCAAAGAATGCTACAATTGCAAACTCGCGCGAACCAGCGCCGAACAACTGAAGGTCCCTCTCATTGGACCCCCTCCATCCGCTCTCTCAAGAATAGGCTGTTGGCTCCGATGCAGGACTGGAAGATCCCCAAGGCGATGGAGGGTCCAACTCAGCGTCATCCATCCCATAGCACCAGGGGGCTCTATGACACGCCTGCATGCCCCTCTCCATCTCCTCACCTCTCCTCTCCTCTCTTATTCCCTTTCGCCGCGATGACGAGATCCACCCTAGTCCGGGGTGTGCTTCCGCTCAAAAGAGCGAACCGCGTTCTGGGCTGAATAATCGTCGAGAAGCGCATGGGAAAACTTACCCAACGGGTCGCGCCGTCTAGCCATCCGGTCGTCTTTGACTAATGCGTGTGAATGGATGCGGTGCCGATGGCGCGAGGTCCCCACTATCCCATCCACTTTAAGTTCCTCGCGCCTTTCTTTGCCTGGTTATCGGGAAAACTGCAAAATCCTAGAAAAATATGTCCTCTTCCACTCACCTCTTTCGCTATCCCCTCTTCTGCCTCATGAAACAATTGGAAGAGTCGCAATGAGAGAGGAGCCGTTTCTCCCACTTCCAAATAAAAACCACTGCCCTGCACATACATCCCTTCGCAGAAACGCCCAGCCCAGCAAGAGACTGATCTGATCCTGTCACGATCCACACGACCGCTGGAACTCGGAACCCGGCCCATAATAACCACGCGGGATATCCGTACAAATATCCGACATCCGCAATCGGCCGACTACTGTGCCCTTGATATCAAGTCGTTATCAAGTGGCCCTGACTGAGTAAGACCGACTAGAGAGGGAAAAAAATTAAAAAAAATTGTCGAGAATTGTTGCTGCTTGTTTTTTTCCTTGCGGCATTCAACGACAACCATGATGAACGAGGTCGAAAGAGATATCGAAAAGGCCGAGAGCCATTCATCGAATCAGGACGATGACAGCGCCACAGTCCACGAGGACTCAGGCTTCGAGCCCATCCGCACGGGCGCCGCCGGTACACGGTCACTCCGTCATTCGAGATCATTGACCCGGACGCGGTCACAGAACGGCTACAGCTGTGACGACTACCAAGAGAACGACAGCCCACCGAGAGAACAGGAAAGGGACCAGTATGAAGTGACGTTCGAGGGTGGCGACAGCGATCCCATGAGTCCACGTAGTTTGGGCGAAGCGAGAAAGTGGCTCATCGTATCCATTGTGTCCTGCGCGAGTTTGTGCGTGTAAGTGAAGTTGACTTTCGACTCCGCAACGAGATGGATGTTGACGTGTGAGACAGTACCGCTGCAAGTTCCATCTACACCTCGACGTATGCGCAGATGGATGCAGAATTCGGCAACTCTCGACTAGTGGGTACTATTGGCCTGTCAGTCTTCGTGCTTGGCATCAGCTTGGGCCCCATGTTCCTGAGCCCCCTCAGCGAGTTTTACGGACGCCGGCCCATCTACTTGGTCTCTTGGTCCATGTATGTCATTTGGATCATCCCGTCAGCAGTCGCCAAGAATATTGCAACCATGATCGTTGCTCGCTTCTTCGACGGTCTGTCGGGCAGTGCCTTCCTCTCCGTGTCTGGTGGCACGGTGAGTGACTTGTTTGCTCGTCATGAGCTTCAAGCCCCTATGCTCATGTACTCACTTGCTCCCTTCATCGGACCGTGCATCGGCCCGTTGATTGGTGGCTTCGTCAATTACAACGCCAACTGGAGGTGGACATACTATGTCATGATCATCTGGGCCTTTGCGCTTTTGGTAGCCATTGCCGTATTTGTCCCAGAGACTTATCGTGAGTGTCCATGGAGGGTGCGCCCCTGGACTAGCCTGCCAGAGCTGACTTTTGCTTACAGATCCGATCGTCCTGCGGACCAAGGCACGCAAGATCCGAAAAGAGACAGGTGACGAGCGTTGGAAAGCCCCTGTTGAGAACATGACCAAGTCTGTCATCAAGACAATCGGCATCTCCCTGATGCGTCCCTTCCAGCTTATTGCCTTTGAGCCCATGGTTCTCAGTCTCGACATCTTCTCGGCCATTCTCTTGGGTATTCTATACCTTTTCTTCGGTGCATTTCCCCTCGTCTTCACAACGATCCATGGCTTCAACCTGTGGCAAGTCGGTCTCACTTTCCTGGGCATCCTCGTGGGCATGTTCCTTGCCGCCGCGACGGACCCCTTGTGGCACCGTATCCGTAGTCGACTCATAGCCGACTTGGAAAAGGAGACGGGCGTCGAGGGTGCCAGCGAGCCAGAGTTCCGCCTTCCGCCAGTCATCCTGGGTGCCTTCCTCTGTCCCATTGGCATCTTTTGGTTCGGATGGAGCCTTCATGTGCACTGGATCATGCCCATCATTGGATCCGGCATTTTTGGAGCTGGGTAAGTTCACATTTCCCTTCGCACAGCATCGCAACCATGACCCCAAGTTGGAAAAAGGCCCGTGGTTCCGCAACATGCGCATCTTGCTGCCGTGATAAGACAACCCCGTGGTTGCTTTGAGCAGGCCTCTGCAGGCTTCTGCAGGTTCATGTGCTGGGGTATGCTTTCGGCCGTTAGGCATGCTTTGTCAGGCTTCCACGGACCTTGGGGTGATGTTGTTTTCCCATCTTGTATGCAGCAGTATGCAGCTGACCGTCTTGATGTGTCGCAGGATTCTCCTCGTCTTCACTGGAATCTTTACGTTTCTTGTAAGTGGAATATGTCCCGTCGACTCCCCGCTTGTGGCGTTCCAGGGGTTTGGAATCAGTCTCAGGCCCGGATGTTACACGACAGGAATTGTGCTAAAGTTGGGGCTTACAGGTCGATGCTTATCCTCTATACGCCGCCTCGGCCCTCGCAAGTAATGCGTTTGTGCGATGCATGTTCGCTGGTGAGTTGCCCCGTGGCACCAACGCTCTCAACCACTCAGTTGGGAGGTGTCGTGTTTCGCTTGGTGCTGACGTGAACTCCTCTCTCAACAGCCGCATTCCCGTTGTTTGGAACGCAGATGTACAACAAACTTGGATATTCCTGGGCTTCATCATTGCTCGCCTTCTTGACGGTAGCCATGCTCCCATTCCCGTACATCTTCTTCAAGTATGGCAAGAAGATCAGAAGTCGCAGTCGATTCGCCACGCAAGCGTAACAAAAGGCAAAAGAGCGAAGAAGTCCACAGCGGACCAAAAAAAGAAAGTTGACGAGGGAGCCAAAGCAACGAGAAATTCAGCGAAGGCCGGTGAGGGAACAGATGTGAACGGCATCGCACAGACTTCCCGTATTGGTGTGGAGGACCAGCAGAGAGGCTGTCTAGCTATGAATGGCTGACAGTGGTCATATGCAGCCTCGCTGCCGGTGCTGTTGGTCGTGGGTGCCCATATTGCCATGGTTGGCGCGTTCCTGACCCAGATGGTCGAGCTGGGCTGCCACTTGGCGTTATTGGACGACTAGTGAGCGGGAGTCCGCGCGCAGCAGATGCGGCTGTTGATCGCGTCGATCGTCGTGAGGTGGACGGCAGTAACCGTCTGCAAGTGCCCAAGGTGTCGGGCTGTCATTGATGGAAAGGTCATCAGGCAGCCATGGCGAGAAGGCTGGATGGTAACGCGGCATACGGGGGCTGGCCGAGTGGCTGCCAATGATGGGCGAGAAGCCTTGGTTGATTTTGTGCTCACATGTAACGAGATACCCCGAATGGTTGATGGACTGCAGGTAGATAGACCGACCGGTGCTCGGCACGTCGGCTAGAATCAGTGTTAGTCAATGCGATGATACCACCCACATCCTTAGCGAGCCGTGGCATGCATTGCACTTGCATGTCATGACTGTTCAGGGACCTGAAGCTATGTGTAAGTCGTCACTCGGCCCTCGGCTTGGCTTGTCTTGGGACCAGGCAGACTGCGGACAGCGGATAGTTGGATGTGGATCTCACATGCAGCAATCGAACAGTGAGAATGCCAGATGTCCAATAGAGTGGCTTGGAGTTGCGTCGCTAACGTAATGCCGTGCGACTGAACCTGGCCATATTGGAAGGGTTGACCAAAAGGCGAGGCAGATGATGAACGGATGGTCATTGTTTCTTAGGGTCGACCTTCGGTCCAGTCGAGGATGATGTAATTTGGTGTGATGAAATTCAAATCGTGGGTGAGGTGAGCCGAATATGGCCTGGCCAACCTGGTCCGGATCCAAGTTGTGAGGATGTAAGGTGCGACTTTGTGTCTTGAGGAACCTTTGCTCGGATTGCGTCTGGGCCCAAGTGGCATGGCAAGTACACACAGGTGCATGAGATATTCTGCAGGAGCAGGCGGCAGGCATGTGCCCAACTTTCAAACTCCATACCTTCCTCAGCATGTTATCCGTACCTTCTATGCCTAGGTCTAGAGAAAGTACAGACGAAGATGGGTTGTTTCCGTTTCTGTTCGGAACTACCGTACCGCCTTCCACATCCACAGTCCACAACGGTGCTGTGTGTCCGACTGTCTGTCAGTCTAGATGCGACGGGAAGGAAGGAAAGAACACCAACTAATTAGAGACTCGAGGACCTGGATGACTGTGCACCGTCGCGGGAAGGACGACGGGAGAACCGATGGTATGAAGTACTACATACACCCTCAGTGTCGTAATTTGTGTGGTACATCATGTAGTCACCACTCACAAGGCACGAATAGTGGGTTTCTCCGTTGGTACCCACATGATACACCCACATTCCCCCCTCGGCCCAACGAATGACGAGTGTGACATTTTCTCCAAGAAAAAACCCCGCAGCTCAGCACGCAAATCTTTGACCAACGGCAGCGAGGCTGGGGCATCCGTTTTCTCTTTGGGGCGCTGTTAGCTGCTGTACGTTACCTGTGAGGAGTACCTTACCTTAACGGATACTGCCCGTACTTTGGCACCCTGCCTATCCCGTCCCTCTCGTTTTCTTTACCGACGGTCAGCTCTGACGACAAACCTCTCGCGTGCTCCTCTTCCACCCGGCCGAGGATAAACATCACGACTCCAAAATCTGCCCCGACCCCCGACGACGCCGCTTTCCCCTCAATTGCGCCGCTGCGCTTGCGATCACGAATCTGCGAATGCGATCCGCCCTACCAGTGCTACTTATTACAAAGTAGTCCACCAAACTCCCTGTACCGCGTGTCAATGCTTGCAGTAGACAAGCACAAGGGCAACGGCTTCCTGCATATACCATTTACTCGCTCGACCTCTAAGAACCTCCGTCACATCACCCCGGCCCAGCGCCGTCAGTCGGCTATCCGCCCAACGACCAAGTCTACCTCCTTGTCCCCGCGACCTCATGTGGTCCGCGACGCGAACACCGGTCTCGAGACGACTGCGCCAACCATCGAGTCCAAGAGACCTAGTCCTGTCGTGACGAGCACGTCGCACAAGGAACGCCTCTTTTCTCTCCACCAACCCACCATTGGAGACTCCTGACTGCTGAGGATACGAGCTGTAGGAGACCCAAGGCTCGCCGCCTTCATTCTTTCTGCCCTGCCCTGTCCTGCTTGTAAGCCGTCTGCCTACCTGCGGCGCAAAAGGAACAAGAAGAAAGAGGGAGAAAACAAGGCTCTACCCGGCCTATATTGCGGGAGCGCACAGCGCCTATTTCTGGCCCTGCTCTCTCATACCACGTCGCCACGGGAAACCATTGTCCGGCTTGACTCCTATTCGCAGACTCGAACTGCCACTACGCACATTGGTCTTGGGAGTAGCTAGTCACGCAGCGGTGGTGTACTTTTGAGCTGTGTGTGTGTGTGTGTGTGTGTGTGTGTGTGGCAGTAGCCCAGCTAGAACCCCGGCGTGTGTCACTCTACACCGACGCAGGAGGATTTTCCTGCTTTCTTTCCTATTCTACGACGCCCATCCAGCGCGACACCGGGCCAGCCCACATACGTTTGAAAGTGAGCCGTGTGGTTTCGCAAACAGACCATCAGGGAGATTCGTGGACCGGGGCTTGCAGTGCCGTGCCGTCACCGCGCCAGCTCCCACGCAAGCACGCCGTTATCGCTTTTCTGTCCAAGGGGAGGATTGTATATATAAATCCGCGACACCATGCCTGACGGCCACGACGATACCGGGCCAGAGGTCTCGGATGCCATGTCAGATAATGACCACGACTACGACGACGACACGCCCGTAAGAGACGACGACGACGAAAAGATGGCCGAATCTCACGACAGCGGCGCCGACACCAACGGCGAGATCAAGAAGAAGTACGATCCCAAGGATCCTTCACGACCAAGGAGGAAGAAGGCTCGCCGGGCGTGCTTCGCCTGCCAACGAGCCCATCTGACTTGCGGTAAGCTTTGCCCGATTCCTCTGGGTCCGGCTCGCGATAGTCTCTGGTCAAGTGAACACCCGTGAAGTCTTGTAATGCTTTGACATAAACCCCGTGGTAACCGGGGTTTTAGCTGCCTGCTCCACTCACATGGCCGTCTGCGATACAACCTTGCTGATGGGATGGCTACAGGAGATGAACGACCTTGTCAGCGATGCATTAAGCGTGGACTCGCAGAGGCTTGCCAAGACGGCGTCCGCAAGAAGGCAAAGTATCTGCATGATGCTCCGCCCGAAGCTCTCCGGCCCGTGCTGGGTCCGAACTACAATCCGAACGCGACGCCGGCCCGGCCCAACGGCCAACGGCATCACAGCGGGGCCTCGGACACGGCCTCGACGGCAGGGAGCACATATTTCGGTCAGAGCTCAACCGCGTCATTCCCCGTTTATTCGGGCCAGCAAACGCCCGTCGGCATTCCCGATGGCCTACCGTATCAGCCGCAACCATCGCCGATATCACCGTCTTTCCCGCAGCCGAGCAACACTGCTCGATCCATTGGCGGCATGATCTCGCCGCAGGTCGCCAACGACCCCTTTAATACGTTATTCGATCCGAGCAACCCAGCAATCTTCAACTTTGATCTGGAAGGGCTCAACTTTGGCAGCCAGTATGGCGCCATGGAGTTCGGCATGCTAGGGCATATGTCATCCGGCGCAGCGGAGACCCCTCCGCGCGACGGCTCCCTGTCTGGACCAAGTGGTGAAGTCAACTTTGGATCCACAAACGTCTTTGGCAACAATGGAAACAACCAGTTTGGCCAAGTATACGATAGCGGTATGATCAACGATTTCATGGGTGTAGACCAGTCTTCCAACGGCATGTACCAACAAGGCAATCTGCAACATGGCCTTCCACATGCCTACGCCATTGCTGCTGGCCCAACAAGCCTACATAGTCCAAGCACAGACAACACCGCCAGCCCGCAACCTACTAACTTTACCTTTGAAGGATCTCCAAGTGGGAACTTTGGCGCTGTTGGAAACTCCCAGACCATAACCGCCCCGACGCGGCCCAAAGCAAAGACCGGCGCCCCTCAAAAGAGCGGTCCTCACACACTCCTCGGCAAGAGGCAGCGCGACCCTTCGTCCATTTATGAGACCGTCAAGGAGCCATATCCATATCTCGCCGGCTTCCACGCTCTCATCGACTACCTACCGAAGCGCTTCTCTGCCAACATGACGCTGCGCATCGCAAAGGCCCTCGCCAGCATTCGCCCGTCATTCATCGCCTGCACCAAGACCCTCAGCCGTCAGGATCTCATCTTCATGGAGAAGTGTTTTCAACGCACTCTATTCGAATACGAAGAGTTCATGCACCACACCTCGGCGCCTACAATTGTCCTCCGCCGTACTGGCGAGATTGCCGCCGTCAACAAGGAGTTCATCGCTTTGACAGGCTGGACCAAGGATGTCCTCCTCGGGAACGACCCCAACTTGAACGTCAATACCGGCGGTACCGGGTCGACAACCAACAGTGGCCGCAGCACCGGCCGCGCGGGCTTCTCAACACCAAAAGCGCCCGCCGCAACGCTTGCCGATCAGATCAAGAACGAGAGCGGGCCGCGGAAACAGCCCGTCTTCATTGCCGAGATCCTCGACGATGACAGTGTGGTTGAGTTCTACGACGACTTTTCGCATCTTGCCTTTGGCGACAGCAGAGGCAGCGTCAATCGCACGTGTCGGATCCTCAAGTACCGCACTAAAGAGCAGACGGAAAGCGCGGCGTCGTCAGATATGATGCCGCAGCAGGACCCGCGCAAGAGCATACTCAGCAACCGCGTTACGCGAATCGATGGCGAGCATGGTATCTCAAAGATTGAGAAGGACGGCAAGGTGGACTGCCGGTATTGCTGGATGATTAAACGAGACGTATTCGATATCCCCATGTTGATTGTTATGAATGTGAGTACACCTCCCCCTTAAGCAATTATGAGGATATGGACTGACAGACGCAGTTTCTTCCATGCTATTCCCAGAACAAGGAAACTCATGGACTGGCTGTGTGATGCGGAAACTTGAAAAAAAGGGGCGACCAGGGCATACATGAAGCGGGGAGAGGCATAGGAGGCGTTTTCACTTTTGATTCAAGGTTCATTGTGTGTGTTCTCGTCATTTGTTTGACATGGCTCTTCCCGTTGAGAGGGCAGGCCGGGAAAGGCGCATCTTTTTTTTTTCTTTTGGAGGGGATCGATCTATGGTCACATATTTCATTGTTTCCTAACAACAACTTCACTTCAGCCAACCAACCCCTCGGGGAGAGAGAGGAGAAATACCCAAGGAACCCTATATTTTTTTTTTGGAACAGACAGAACCTTTTTTGGAATGGAATTCATTCTTCTATATTTCTAACGCTTCGTTTGTGTTTGTGCTCGTCTTACGTTTTGTGAAGGGGTGTCGTGATCATGAGAAGTCAATGAGATGGAGGATATGACATGAGAATAAGAGATGCCGGGCTCTTTCTATTCCCAGACTTTGATTCAAGCCTTGGGCAACTCCCCAACCAACCACTTTGCATCAAGCGACCCATCCACCGTGCCCTTGGGCCGCAAAGCCTTGGGCGGGTGCCACGCCGGCCTGGCGAGGGAATTCTTGGCCACGTCGCAATCGGTATTGATGTCCGCAATCAGCGCCTCGAGGCTCTTGTAATCCAGCTCGTCGCGGACGAAGCCCAGGATCAGCAGACGCATGTGCGCGTCGTAAAAGTCGGCGGAGAAGTTGTGGAGGACGTGGACTTCGGCGGAGCGGACCGTGTTTTTGTAAAACGGGTTGTAGCCGATGGACATGACCATGGGGTAGAGCTGGAAGTCGATGTGAGGTTGTGCGGGGCCGGAGCCGGAGCCGGAGGTGGAGGAGGTGCCGGGGGCGGCGACGCGGTCTGGGTGCGAGGGGGGCAGGGAGAGGGAGGCCCAGCCGAAGTAGACTCCTGATTTTATGGTGTCGATCCAGGGGGTAAGGGTGGCGTCTACGGGGAGGTTTGCGGTTGGGATGCCGAGCTTGGGTGGGTGGTTAGTTTGGGGGTGGTGAAGGAGGTTTGATGAGATGGTGTGGTTTGGGGGATCGTGGGTGTCGGTGTGAGTGAGGTGTTTGTGTGTGAAGATTGTGAGAGAATGAGAGGTGTCGTTGGTGAAGGGGTTGAAGTGATGTGACGGGGGAAGCTATGTTAAACGGGCTTACCTCCTTGGACCCCCGGCCGAAGCCAGAAATGACCTTGCCTTCCATCTTGTACGGGTAGGGAGGCTCGGGGCCCGACTCTGGGCCGACGATGAGGGGACGGGTTGTCTCTGATGCCACCATCTTTTTTGCTGTGTTTTGAACAAGCACTGCACACCCTTCTGCGTTGAGTAGATGTGGTCGGAAAACGTGGTTGTCACAATGCTGATTAATCCAACACCAGGTGAGTGAGTGAAATTCCCAACAGTAAGCTACGCAAAGTGTAGCTTGGTATCTGGCAAATTTGTCAATTCAAACATCAGATGGAATGAGACAGCACAGATTACCTACCAGAGGGATGAAGCAAGGGAAAAAAGATCTCGAGATTTTCCAAGTGTGAGAGTGAGAAACGTTAGACAGATTGCGACATTGGGTGAGAAAGAGAGAGAGAGAGCCGCTTCGATGATGAGATGAAAGTGGTTGGTGGGGCAGTGGGATGAAATGGAGGGGTCGTCGTTCCGGTGTGACTGATTGGAGTCGGAAGGTCGAGAGTGCGGGCGGGTGGACAGCGATTCGGGCGACTTCGATAAGGCTCTCGAGTGGGGGTGGGAGCACCTGCCGCCTGCCGCCTGCCCGCCTGTGGTCCAGGTGCGTTATCGATTTCGCGATCGGGAGGGGCACGACGTTGCGCCGACCAACCTCAGTGGGGCCTCCTGTTCCTCCTTCCGCCTTTTGGAGGGGGGGGGGAGGACAAGCCGGCAGGCCGGAGGCTGCCGTTTGACAATGCAGTCATCTCCATGCATCTCGTCGTCCAATGATTTCACAGATGTGTCCATTCATCCCGTGTAAGACGTAGGTAATTGATCATGGGAGAGGCACAAGTTGACTACATTTCCGATGTAAATTTGTTATAAGCTAGATCCATTAAACAAGTATACAACATTCTGTTACCTGGACGTAAACTTCGTGTATCTAAAGACAGTGTGGGTGGTATTTTTTTCTCACACGAGGGGATATCAACAAATTCCACCAAACTGATAAAAACCGATAATATCAACAAGGAGAAAAAGGTAAGGGAAAAAAAATAAAAAATAAAAATGAAAACGACGAATCAAGATGGTGGTTGCTGACGGCCTCGCTACCGAGTGGACCAACAACACTGCAAGACGCAAGCAACCTCATCTTTCAACGTCCACCTGACGATGAAAAGACAAGATTCGTGATTCCACACGAAACAAGCTTTTTCTCAAGACAGATACACGAACGGTTTGTCCTATCATCCCGCGATGGCCGTGACCTATGTCTCTGCGTCGCCGTAACCACGGACTAAGACGCCATTGGGTCCCGAGAAGAGTGGCCCTGGCCGGACGCCGTGGCACCACGGAAAACACCCCGCGAGACGAGACCTCCCGACACCTAAGACCGGGGCCAGGCGCCGTGCTTCCACTCGGTCCGCCCAAGCCTCACAATCTCGGGCGCCTCAATGACCCACAGACCGGCAGGCGCCTTACCCTGCTCGACAAGCACGGCAGCGTGCACGGCAGCGCGGGCAATCACCTCGGCCTCCTGCCCAAACGTATCCTGCACGCCGCGGTTCAGCATACCCAGCCCGCGAACAACAGACTGGAAGACGCCCTCGCCGGCGCGGCTCTCCTCGCGCGCGCCGAGGATCAGACCCGGCTTGAGGATGATGCCGTGGTCGAAGCCGGCCTCCTTGACGGCGTCCTCGACGCCGTTCTTCATCTTGCTGTAGGGCGCCTGGGTGCTCAGCGCGCCGCGGGTGCCGCCGCTGGAGATGAAGATGAAGGCCTTGGAGCCGGCGGCCTTGGCGGCCTTCACGAGCTCGACGTTGAGGTCGTGGTCGATTTTCCACTGATTGGCGATGCTGCCGGCCGCGGCGCGGGTAGTGCCGAGGGCGGAGAAGACGACGGTGGGGGTGGGCTGGAGGGCGGCGAGCTTGGGGGGCCAGGCGGAGGTGTCTTGTTCGATGACGGGCTTGAGGGTTAGGCCGCCTGCTTTGGGGGGCCGGCGGGAGATTGTGTTGACGGCGGCGAAGGCTTCCGAGGTGATGAGGTTTGTGAGGATGTGGGAGCCCACGAGGCCGGTTGAGCCGATGACTGCGGCGTTGTGCGCCATTGTGTTTATTGTTGTTCTTGTTGGATTAATCAAAACAAGTCTGAGTGTTTGCTGTAGCTTTCTCTGTCGCGATGGAACAGAGAGATAAAAAGGTGAGATGATTGATACGACGAAGACGCGGGCCCGGCAGGTTGGTAATTCTGGCGCAGTGGTAAACGGGTATCTTGTCTGTGATGCTACAGCTGTTGGTGCTTCTTTCCTGTCTATGGAGAAAAAAGAGAAGAGAAGAAGTGAGGGAGAGGCGCGAGAGCAGAGTGCAGGACGTCTGTGGGATATGTTGATGCGGGCTTTATGAGAGCTTTGCTTGGTGCTGGTGCTTTTTCGAACCCTAATGAAGTTTGCTTGATCTTTACAATGTCTGTGTGTACTTGGTGAGACAAAACCGTGAGAGTAGGAGGGGGGTGTGGTGATTTTAAGACGAGGCTGGATGAGGGGGAGTGCGAGATTGGATACAGAGGGACGAGTGTGAGGCTATTGTACCTTTTGATGGTAGGTCTAGAGAGACGGAGAGGAAGAGGTAGACGCGTGTGCTGGTTGCTGAGCTGGAGGTGGAAGAGGAGGGCTGTCGAGCAATGTTCCTTGGATATGACGAAAGGTTTGGCACTTGCGTTTGCGCCTGGAGACCGTTGACGACCGGGGTGATACTTGATGGAGAGAGATGGGGAGGGGGGTGTTTGCGAACCACAGCGGGGGGGAGAAAGAATTTAAAAAAAAAAAAAAAAAAGAGACGATTGCGAAAAGTTGGAACGGTTTATCTTTCAAGCTCGGACAGGGGAGGTCGGAGCGGCTTTCTATCTCTTGACCGTCTAGTTCCGCCCTCTGCGGAAGGTGCACTTTAGAGGTTATTGCAGATAGATGTCTTTGGATGACAGAGACAACTCCACTTCCTAAACGCCGTTACAATGGCAGTATCCATAGCACGGAGTATAGAAGTGGAATGACGCCGGGGAGACCGCCTCGGGATCACCACAACGGGCTTCTCCACGCTTGTTAGGCATTGAGGGGTGGGTGTTCGCCGTTCCTTGGTCCGATCGGGGTTCCATATCAGGTCCGTACGGATAGAGTCTCGAGCTATCGTCTCTGAAAGGGAGGGGCTCACGGTTCACCTTGAAGTCCAAATCACCATTACTTGGCGGTTACTCATCTACACTTACACCGTGGAGCAAAATCTCGCATTCAGGCAAACGGCATTTGCATGAATTTGAAGATGCCCAAGCACATTTCACACATGACTAGCAGCTACGTACTCGGCTAGAAAGCCCTACCTATCGACCTGTTTTCTGGTCCATCCTCCTCAGGTTATTCCGTGTCCGTGGCTGCGAATCCGACGAGACTTTTTGGGTGCCCAAGAAGAGATAAAGAGGAACAGAAAGAGAGCAGGTGAGGGACGAGGAAAGCCAAGACGGAAGACCTCGAGCTGGGAAAAGTCCGCAAGTCATGCAGAGCTCCGCTTTACACGGAGAGCTCGGTGCTCACCTGGGGCTGCTTAACGCCGGCATGGTGGATCTTGTTTCTCCGTCATGGCTTGACCTGTTCGGCACTTTAAGCACCCCCAAGACATTGTCCTTGCCGAACAAGTTGGCTTCCTTGTGTGAACCAAAAAAAAAAAAAAAAAAAAAAACCCCCCGACGAAGACCCTTTGCTTGCTCATATCAAGACATGTCCAGAACAGCTCCCAGATCTAAACCGGGGAAGCTCCCACGAATCGCCGTGTAAGTGTCACATTTTCGGCGTTAAGGTCCACCAGACGGACGTGGGGGAACGCGGATACTCCGCCGAATCATAGACTCCACCGCCGCGGAATCCGCGACCGCAGAATGCGGAATTTGCAAAAGAAGCTCTTCACCGGCAAAGCCTTTCTCAAAGGCTCTCCCGAGAACATGACAATGATGACGGCAGGAACAGAAAGAGTTTATCAACCAAGAAGTAGGATTCCACTAATGGGATGTTTTGGCTTGGAACCTGCTGTCGTACGTAATTCTACCTGCGAACAACTCGGAAAGACCATACCACACTGGGATAAACTTCAGGGTTTAGACGTTTGATAGAGGTCAACCAATACCTGTTCTATAAGGGCGTGATATTAAATTACAGAAACAGAAGCTTGCCAAAATTGAGAGATATTGAGGTAAGCTTGCTGAGATGACAAGGTTCATGAAGCAAGGTGCGGCGACAGGCACACGACGCGGGGTGTCTGACCCCTGCAGCCGAGCTCCGCGCTAGAAGCTTTCTCTGGGCTCCGACTCCAACCCCCGCGGAGCTCTCTCTCTGCTTTCCCCTCACCTTTCCAATTTCTCCCATCCATCCCAACCCGCGTTGACCGAGACGTGCGACACCGAACGACTGCCTAGGCCACATCATCGCGGCAGCCTCCACCCTTGCACCAAGAAAACTGAGCCAAACTACACCCGCATACTCTGACCAAACCTCGATTGCCGAATTCTCTCAGTGGACGTTTGACGACACGCAGTCTGGCCTCATCGCTCTCCCCCATATCACAGAAGATCACCAAACCGGAGCAGCAGAACATCCGCCCACCATGGCTACACAATACGAAGGTATATCAACAACCTTTCTCTACTCCCCCCCCCCAAAAAAACTCAATCCAACAATGACTAACTCCCTACAAACACAGTCGAGCACAACATCAAGCCCGGGCCCTCAACCCAAGACGGAACCCGCCGCATCGACATGTCCTCCTTCACCTCCTTCCTCTCCAACCTCACAACCGACTCTCATCACACCGGCGCCAGCAGCGCAGCCGCCGCCGCCGCCGCCGCCCACCACAACCCCCACGCGACACCGACCCCCGTAGACGCAGCAGCCCTCTACACCCTCCTCCAACAACAATTCCAAACCCTCTTCTCCACCGCGCCCAACACCCAAAACGCAGCCTTCCTCTCCTCCCTCGTCGAGGCCCTCGAATCAGACATTTCCTCCCCGCCCACCGAGATCCCGGGCGTCTCCCACGAGTACCTCGACTCCCTCGACCGCGTCCCCAAAAAGACGCTAAAGGAAGATGAGGCCTGCCCCATCTGCGCCGAGAAGTTCCTCGACGACAAGTACCCGCTCGTCGTCGAGCTCCCTTGCCACAGCAGTCACCGCTTCGATCTCGAGTGCGTGAGCCCTTGGTTGAGGAGCAAAGGCAGCTGTCCCATGTGTCGCAAGGATTTGACCAAGAAGAAGGTGCCTGTTGTTGTGGTGGATGATGAGGAGGAGGAGAATGATGATCCTGATGGGCTGTATGCGTAAGGCTTCGAGGTGGGAAAGGGTTGTTCGTGAGGAGAGAGAGGATTGGAATGGAGATCTCTAGCATACGAATTGGGAGACAGTAGGCGCGCGGAGGGTAGGAAGGGGGATAGGGGATATCTGGAATTTTGGTCGGGAGTGAGTGGTTTGGCGTTGAGGCTGCATTTGATATCCCATTGCATATTACGACGACCGATTAAAAAAAAAACCAGAAAGAAGTAACAAGACAAAAACAGCAATGGGACAGGACGACCGATCGAGGAGTCGAACTTGGACGATCCCGAAATAGACAGGAGACTTCACTGCCTGACCGAGGCCTCTGCAGTCCGATTAAACCCTCGACCATGCGGCTCATATGCTTGTTAAAATACTTGGTTGAATCATCGGCTATAGAGCCCCGCGGTCTGTCTTGCTCGTATTCTCAGGCGTAACAAACTGCCTCCGCCTTCAAGTGTCCATCAAGGTAACTTCCATGGCCTATCACCTAGCACTCATCATCAGCGTAGAAGGAGGTGGCTCCATGGTCATGTAATTGAAGCCGAGACGGAACGCCAGCTCTACCCAGGCTTGATACTGATGATACTAGGTAATTACATGCCATGCCATCTTCACTCAATCATAGAATCTCCTATGAACCCAACCACCCTTTGAACCTTCTCCTACTCTCTCTCACCCTCAGTCGTGACCCGACATCACGATCCTATACAAAAGGCAATCTCACGCCTTCCCAGCCTTCGGCGCACTCCCAGCACCACTACTCCTCCCCCCATCACCGCCCCCCACCTTCTCCCCAGCACCCTTCCCCTTACCCTGCCCGGGGTTATCCCCCTGCGGCTTCGACGCAGCCTGGTTGGCGCCAGAGACGTCGAGAGTGCTGCTGTCCTCGTTCTTCTCGCCCTTGGGCCGCGTCGTAGACGGATCAAACGCCTCCTTCTCGTGCGCCACCTCCGTGTCGCGGCCCGTCTTGGTGCCCTCGTTGGAGGCCGGGTTCAGCGACTCGCGGTCCTGGGTGTCCTTGTACGCGAACCTCGGGGTCGAGGATGCTGTGAAGGTTCTCGTCGCGGCAGGCGTGGTCGTGGTAGTGATAGGTAGTGAGGCACGGAATGGCGTGCGGGCCGCTGTGCGGAGGCTGAGGGCGCGGAGAGCTTGCATGGTTGTGGTTGTGGTTGTGGTTTGTGATTGTGGTTTGGATTGTGGTTTGGATTGTGGTTATTGGTCGAAGAGGTACGTTGTGAGCAAGATGGTGGTAGCTGTATCTTGCTTGGCGTGGTATTGTAAGTTCAATTGAACAATTCAAGTCTGTATAATGGGAATACTCTGTGGAGAGGTTAGCAAAGAGGTTACAATCACGACATATGCCGTGAAGGGAGGAGCTACCATACCTTACGTCGAGATGCTCTCATTCGGACCATGACGTCATCCATACGTTTAGCCAGACCAGACAGGTGCGACTTTGGCCATTTGCGGCTTACCCCGGATTCTCATCATTAATCATTCTTATTTTCACTACCTACTTGCGATGCTAAGCCTCCATCCTCGGACTGCAAACCCAGCGAAAGAATGACATGCATACATCCACCGGGTGATTGAATCAGGAGCTCGTGCCAACTTAGCTCTTCAAGATGCCTCGAGATACCGTGACTACCCGGTAGCTTGTCTGGTGAGCTCAACAAGAACCCTCTACATGTGGCCTTGCACCACCAGCAAATCAACATTGGAGCGGCTCAGTCGCCGAAAATTGTAGCCCTGCCAAGAGGTTGAGCTTTCACGTTTGTTCGGAAAGATCCAGAATCTTGCGCCGTCTAGCCTTTACGGCCGAGTTGACCAGATGGCGGTCTCTGGACAGCGCCGCATTCGGACTTGGTCTCGACGCCACGCGATGAATGGAAGGTTTGGCTTTATCAAATCGTTTCGATTCTGGTCCAATCCGGTAGAGGATTGTCATTGGAAGAGACGCGTGTTCGTCCACTGGTAGCGGTGAAGGCCTAGGGGAATGGCGATTGGCCTTGCGGTCGCAAAGACGACTTGCATCAGGTCTGTATGCCATCGAGATAGTCTGATTGACAGAATGCAATGTCCACCATCTCGAATGTCCCTCATCGTCAATGTTACTTGATGCTCTTTTTCGCTGGCTGTCAGTTGTCTGGAACCGCTGGAGATCGCATAACGTCCAACAGGAGCGTCTAAGCCGTCGGGAGTGGCTGACCAAGGGGCCAAAACGCCATGTTGCGATGCTGTCGTTGCTCTGCAGGTTCTTGTTAAAGGCCTGGCTGTCGCTCCCCCGTGTCTGAAGCTGTAGATCTCGGCCGAAGCGATGCATGAGCCTAGTAGTGCTTGATTCGCTGAATGCCTCGGGTGGCGCGGGATGGCTGCGTGACAATTCCGAAGGCAGTCAGCCAAACGGACTTACATCCTTTCAGAGATCAACGTTACCACCTATGCAAATTCCGAGACTGGGCTTTCGGGGTGCCCATTGCTTTGAGTCCATGTCCCTCACAAGGACCAAGCCACGATCGTTTGCGCCTTCCCCAGGAACGATCTTGGAAATGTCCATTAGCAGGGCCATTCACTGCAATGTTCCTCGTATTTCTCGCGAGATTTGGCACTTGACGATAATTGTCCAAACGCCCGGATGTGTGATCCCAGCTTAACAGAAATAGGAGGCGGCACAGCGCCGATGTTGGCGCGTGCAGAATGAGGTTGCACACAACGATGACTGTAGACCATTTTTAGGTTAAGCGCAACGCTGGTTGACACTACCTCATGGCACGCCATATGCGGCCTGAAATGAGACTCGTGTTTAGGATCCTGTTGACCAATTCATCCAAAATCTGTCCGTATCATCGCGGTATATGCTGTATGCAAGATGCCCACCTACCTTACTTATTATGGTCGTTTGTTCTTCCGCAGCCTCGTCGTTCGGGGAGTCCTGCAGTATTAAGCAAAGCCGCCCGCCCCTTGGTGCGGCGTGCCTGGCGGCCTTGTGTCTCCCGGCTGGCCGGCGAGAGCCGAGATTGTATGCGTTGTCAAGTTCATGGCCATGCAGCAAGTTGACATGGTTTCCACGCTAGCCAGCCGAGCTCGAGGCCAGTTTTCAAACGGAGAAATTTCAAATAGACGGCAGTCCTACTATTTGGTTGGAATGTGAGCAGGGTGATCGAGCGTGGCACTCTGCTTCTCGACACGCGACTCGTGAGGAAGGCTGACCGGCCGTGTACATGACTGAATCTTATTCAACCGTCAAGTCCCATTTCGTGACGCTCATTGCTGTGTCTGCAGGAGCTGGCCATCCGGCGTGTGCGTGCATCTGTTCCGGCTTGCCGCAATATTCAATGCAACGTCGAGGGTCGCGCGACGGACACGGGTTTGGCTGCTTTCACATGACTTCTCATATGCCATCAAGCCTTCCAAGTGTCAGTGATAGCGCCCCCGTTTCAAAAATGGAAGGTGGGCAAGCTTAAATATATTGAATACGGGGTTAGTTTAAAATGAGGCTCCTGGCAGACTCGTCGAGATGTCAAAATCCGATACGACCCATGCGTGCGGCGTGTCATGGAACTCGCGGGGCGCCGTTGGCCCCTGCTTCTGGGGCCTGTCAGACTAGGCGAAGGGGGCCGACTTTCGCGGCAGTATTGTTTTGGGTTTGAATGTGATCTGCGGGATCAGCAGCGTTAAGAAGCGAAGCCTGCAAAGAGAAGTCCACCGCGACGTTATTGCCGGCGGAGAGTCCTCAAGTGAGCCGCGACGGCAGAAGGTCTGCCTGGCTGCCAGCGTGTCATCAGCTGTCAATGTCGAATAAGGGGGGGGGGGCCTAGGGGATCGCGTTGCGTGTTTGACACGGAGATGACCGGTGATGGATGTTCGCGGGTAGGCTCCTCTAGTTGGAACTTATGAAACGGAACCTGCAGATTTTGGGATGATCTTTGGGGTCGGCATTGCGCATACTGCGAGACTGTGACTTCCATGCCATCCGCTGCTACCGGAGGTCTGTGTTTGTGGCATCTTTGTCATTCGTGACTGCGTATATTCGAGATTTGAATCAACAAGTACTTGTCTCTTTCGGGTTACGGCGGTTGCACAGGGTGGTTCCCTCTCTCCTTATTTTGGATATTTCGACATGTGCATGTTTGACATGCATGACGGGGCGTGGCGTTGAACGGAAAGGCTGTCTTTGTTTGGTCTTTTGCTCCGACAGCGGTTACCATCGCAGCAGCATGTCGAGGCTGACGTCCCGTCTGCACAGGGTCCTATCGGGACCCGCGTGGCACAGTGGAGAACAGGCGGGAAAGAGACGAGTCGCTAATCTGGGACGGCAGGAAATCTAAGGGGCAGAATTCTTCCAGAAGGCCGCACAATGTTCCTGTTCCATGGACCACATCGGCTCAATGTCTCGGATTGATCCAGCCCTGCACTTCGTTGTAAGGGTGGGACCACCGTCCGTCAAGGGCGAAGGCGACGGCGGAATGTAAGTCAAAGGTTTTGAAGAGATGCTTGAGGAATCCCTTCTCGAGTATTTGAAGGCGTAAGAAGAATGCAGCCGCCGAGGAATTTCCTCAATAAGTCGACCTGCCGCGTCTCGTAGTGGATTACACGAATACAGACGGGTACGCACGAGCTTTAGCTTAGTGTCCAAGTACCTTGTTATCGAAGAAAAGATTTCATATAAGTTATAAGTACGAGAATATAATTTTAATAAAATGATATAATCCTTACCTCATACTTAAATTAATATATATCTTTTTAAGCTTATTTAAGAAAAATTAATTATAATAATAACTATTTTTTTCAAGTGTTACGTCTGCCATAGTTAGTCACTGTGGGCGCGTAGTTATATAATATAGAACAAGAGAAAATGATGCGGAGTCATCATTATCGAAGCTTTTACTTTGTGCCACAGTTGTTTGCCTTGACTTGCTCGTAGCATTAAGATTTATAATTTAATTATAATAACTAAAAAGTTTAATTATAATTGTCTTAATAAACTCTCTTTAATAAAATAAAAGCCTTTAAATCAAACTATAAATAATTATTAAAATATTAAATCTATTATTATTTTATTATAAATAAATAAAAAACAATTTAAAAATTTAATCCTTAAAAACTTTAATTCCTTTAATTAACGTGGTTCATCAGTCAGCGACGAACTTTTTCCCAAATGCGGTTTGCATTAAACCACTCCAACCTTTGACGCGTAATGACTCCACAACCATTATGCCAATTTACACACAAGAAGACAAGATACTTCTAGCCATCGAGACTATCCGATCAGCCCGCGCCGCCGGCCGAAAACTAAGTATGTTGCGTGCTGCGAAGACTTACGGTGTCCCCGAAAGTTCCGTACGCCATAGAATGAACGATCGATCCCGACGCGAACGTGCCCAACCCCAACGACATAAACTTGATGTGATCGAAGAGAAAGCGCTTCTCCAATACGTTATTGAGCAGGATCAAAGAGGGTTTCCCTTGCGTCTCGCTGGTGTGGAAGATATGGCCAATCTCCTGCTACGAGCGCGTAATGGCAAGCCTGTTGGCAAGCGATGGGCTAGGCGGTTTGTGGACTCGCAGCCTGCTCTGAAAACCAAGTTTAATCGTCCATACGATTATCAAAGGGCTCTTCAAGAAGATCCTGAGGTTATATCAAAGTGGTTTGCGCTATTATGTAATATGATGGCCAAGTATGGTATCCAAGAGGGGGACCTATATAATTTCGACGAAACTGGCTTTATGATGGGCATGATCACCGCGTCAATAGTAATAACACGCGCTGATCGACGCGGCAAAGCAAAGTCTGTCCAGCCTGGCAACCGTGAATGGGCTATAGTTATTAAATGTATCAATTTGGGCGGGTGGTGCATCCCTCCGTTCGTGATTGTCAAAGACGCATATCACCTTGCTAGTTGGACCACGGAATCAGGTTTTCTTAGCGACTGGGTTATCAAACCTACCAATAATGGATGGACGGATAATCAGACGGGTCTTAACTAGATTAAATACTTCGACAAATATACTAAGAACCAAACGAAGGGCGTCTACCGGATGCTTATTATCGACGGCCACGAGAGCTATTTATTGGCCGAATTCGACAATTACTGCAAGCAGAACAATATTATAACCGTCAGTATGCCTGCACATTCGTCACATCTACTACAGCCATTAGATATTGCCCTTTATTCGCCTTTAAAACGCGCATATGGTGATGAAATCAACCTATTCATCAAAGCCTCCATAAACCACATCACCAAGTCGGAGTTCTTTATTGCCTTCTACCAGGCCCATAACAAAGTTTTTAATGAAGAAAACATTAGGGCTGCTTTTCAAGGCGCTGGAATTTCACCATGGAACCCAGAGCATGTCATTGAAAAGCTTGATGTACGTTTACGGACGCCTACACCTCCTGTGGCCAACCCTTCAACACCACCACCTTAGCAGTTGCAAACGCCCTCTAACCCACAACAAACCGTCTCGCAGTCCAATTTTATCAAAAGTCGGATCACTGCTCATCAAGGAAGCTCACCAACGCCAATTATTGCTGCAGTTGAGCAATTGTTAAAGGGTACGCAGGCAATGGCGCACTCAATCACTCTTTTGACTAATCGGCTTCGTACCCTTAAGGATGCGAATGTTACACTTGGTAAGCGCCGGAGGGCTAAAAGGACGCGGGTCCAGCTTAGAGGGGCGCTTAATATAGAGGAATCTCAGGTTTTGCTTAAAGGGAAACAAAAAGGGAAACGTCCAGCACCTCAAGAGGATGAGGAGGGGGGTCCATCAAAGAGAGCCCAGCCAGCTCGGAGACGCTATAGTGTATGTAGCGAGACCGGTCATGATACGCAAACCTGTTTTAAGGATACGAAATTATCAAACGATTCGAGTAGTAATAAGGAATAGTTAATTCAATGTATTATGGTTGTGCAATAGTAAATACTATTACGTGCATGGGAAAAAGTTCGTCGCTGACTGATATTTGTCGCTGACTAATGAACCACGTTATAATTCTTTTAAAATAATAATATTGTTATTTTATATAAAAGAACTTTTAAAGCGGGAAAGAGAGCTTTTAATTAATAATATAAATTGAAGTTTTATAATAATAGCCTATCTCGGCCTAATTATTTAAATAAAAAATAACTATTTCTTAAATTAATATAACCAAATAATTAAAACAAATATTAAATTATTTTAACGTGGTTTACCAGTCAGCCGCGCATATCAGTCAGCCGCGCATTTTCTTATCGCATACTAAATTGCATATTTACCTAATTTCTTTGAATAATAACTAATTGAAAAGATTTCAGTATTTTTATAATATATTTAAAATATAACTAGTTAAATTTAATAGAAAAAGACACTTTAATCTTTTTATATTGAAATAAGTAGTGGAATAGAAATATGGGTCTTTGATAAGGATATAATATATTTACTCTATTTCTAAATAGAAATTAATTTTTAAAACTTTTTATTTAGTTTGGTGACTCTTATCAAAGACTAATGAAAAAATTTGAACGTTATATAACCAACAATGAAAAAGATATTAATTATATAATGTAGGCGACTTAGTATACGATAAGGAAATGCGCGGCTGACTGATATGCACGGCTGACTGGTAAACCACGTTATATATATTTATAAATACTTTTAAAATAAAGTTTTTTTAATAATAAATAAGCGTTATAAATAACCGATCTTTATAAACCTTTAATATAGAATATTTTATTATTATTAAAATAGCGATTTTAAGAATGTTTTAATGAGAGGAGAGGAGAGAGTATAGAAAAGAGAAAAAAAAAGGCTAAGAAAAGGGCTAAGGTTAAAT